ACACACACACACACACATATATTATGTAAACACAAACATTTATTTTGGATGTGATTAATTCACAAAGAGTAAAAATAAAGAATAAAAAAATAGCCCGCGCACTCTCAAAAATCAAAAAGTCACAAGCGAGATGAAAGCAGTGTAAGCAATTTACTGAAAAAACAAGGCAAACGTTTCGGTCACATGTTGATCATTTTCAATGCCAAGCTAACAATGTTGATTTAAGAAATCACATGATGATTTAGGAGATCACATGATTAAACCAGAACTGGAAGCACTGATCCAAAAAATTAAAATAAAAAATCGATTAATCGACAGCACTATTAGCAGTAGTATACATTTTTGTAATATAGTTAGTCACTCAGGCCTCATGTTCACATTATTGTAAATATTATGCCAGGTTGTTTCAGCATGGAACACCTGTTTCCTTTGCCTTTTCCTCACTATGGCAGAGAAACATTCACTGGGAGTTCAGTAAGAAACAAAACATAAAGGCCCCGCTTTTGGCTGGATGATTCACTTGGACTTTGAACTGACGTTGAGTTGCATGTCTTCAGTCAGATGAGGGATTTTAATATCTGCGTGAGTCTAAGCAATTACATCCAACTAAGGCTGTGAAAATCTGATAACGATTCGTGTAAAATATATCTGGAGCACTTCCTACCTATGTCAATTTTCCAATATCAGTAGTTGATTTAGAATGTGCTTTTCACTAAAGGGCTTGGCAGTGTCTGTAGCAGGTAAGGAACCTTCTTGGAAAGTATAATTGGTCCAATCATCACTTTTGTATAAAAGCTGGTGACATCAGCCCAACGTCTTCTATTGGATGTGGTAATTGCATTGGGGGCCCCTGTCTGTTTTGACTCTCTTGGATAGTTGTTTCGTGACGTACTACATCCTTTTCTCAGGAACGTTCATTTTTATGCCACAGGGAAGAACATGGTCTGCGCGCCCATTAAGACCGACTCAAATTGGGCTAGTTTTACATGCTTGAGATACAGCTGGGGAAACATTTCATACTCTGGAATGGTTTGAAAGTGCGTCAAAGGGTGCACTTCGTGGTAATAGCAGAAACAGCAATAGAAAGATTGATGTTAAACGGAGCTGCATAAAACTAGAACAGGTTCAAGTAAACATTTGACATTAGTAGTATATTGTAAGAGTAGATAAAAAACAGGAACCACAATATACGATGAATGATGATGCTCAAAGGAAACTTAATAAAAATGTAAATTATGATATAAATTAGTGGTTCTCACTGTAGGGTTGTGAACCAAAATTATCTAATATGGTTAATAGTAATAAAAATAATAGTATTATATTATATTATATTATATTATATTATATTATATTAATATTAAAAATGGCCAATACTTTTAGGCAAGGCCAATACTTTTACTACTACTACTACTAATAATAATAATAATAAATTAATAATAATCACCATCATAAATACATATATTAATACTATTCAAACACACTATAAAAGCATTTGTTATTGCATATATAAAAAGGTTAAAATTTTTATATTGGTGTGTATTCTTACTCTAATCCCTGAAGTCTGCAAACATCTGGCTCTGTTGTCTCTGTTAAACGCATTGCAACATTTCTTGCATTGGTCTGTGTTCGTGGAGCTTTCATGTGGGTATTCGATCATTTAAACACCCCGCTACCTCTCCTCCTGATTTCCTGTGCTACATGTCCTACACATATGCAGGCAGTTAGCACACACATGCATTGTGAACACGCAGGGCAGGCTGAAGACATTACACCAGCCCACAGGGAGGATTGGGTCCTCCTTACTATACCGCTTTCCAAATGTTTTGATGTTTGACCGTTGTTCAAAGAAGCAAAGATTGTCTTTATATTATTTATGGACCTGTTAAGTGTTATTGTCAGCTTCATTTCAGAGTTTTAGGTTTCAAGAAAATACAGTGGGCTCCAAAAGTCTAAAGACGGCTAGTGAAAATTATTCTATTTATTTATGATATTGTGATATTTGACTTTATTTTCACACCTATCACCAAACCGGTGTATGGAATCTAAACATAGTTAATATTAATAATTGATTTTTTTTATTATTATTTTTTAACAGAAAAGTCTATAAACAACCCTAAAAGAGCAGTTTAGAGTGCATGCATAAATCACACATATAAGAGTGGCTCCCGTTTCCCCACCTCTCATGCACTCTCTGCTTGGCACTTTGAAGGATCTCAATGCTGCCATACTTCAGGTGGTAGCTGTTTATAATATCTTCCACTAGATGGGGACATCGCTTAACTTAATCTTTACAACCTGCGCCTCATAGCCTGCGGCATATATCATCAGTGATAGAGTAATTGCAGCAATGTTTTGGGAGTGAGTGGGTACACCGCCACAGCTGCTTGCTATTGTTCAGTTCAGTTGTCTGCACTTAAGGGATCCTCAAATCAAAGCCATGAGCCGAAGGTAAACTCATGCTTATGTAATGGGAGTGGTGCAGTCATGCATTTTGATTTTAATAGAGGTATATGCTGTTATATGATTACATAATTCGCACACTGAAACAATTTGTTCGCTCTGAACTTCAAAGGACTCCTAAAAAGGTAACGGTTCATAATTTCCGAGATCTATTTGAAAGTGTTATTTCCAACTGAATCTAGGAATAAATTTATTCACTTTTTATTTAAAATTATATCACTTCTTTATTCATTTAACCTTAACCCTGACCTTATTTGTTTTGATAAATGTTATTGTTTGAGACATGCATAATAAATTTATATATATATATATATATATATATATATATATATATATATATATATATATATATATATAATTAAATCAAAATAAGAAATTATTAGTATTAGTAGTAGTAGTAGTAGTAGTAGTACCATCACACTACTACTACTAATAATAATAATTACTACTATTATTATTATAAATAAATAAACCAAAATACACACATTTATTAATTCAAATGCATCTTAAAATATTTTTTATAATAATAAAAATAATGATGATAATAATGACAATAATAATTTTTGGTGAAAAAAAGAATAACCTCTAAAGATGTTGAGCTGTGGTGCTTCTGTTGGAGATGTAGTTCAAATTTGACTTGCAACATATCCCAATCATATTACTGTAAAAATTACTGTATTTCATACTTAAGTGACAAATGTCTAAATGTGCAACGGCAGGTTTCGGCTGTGGGCGGTGGACAACACGGGTCGGCGTTCCAGTCCGAGTGAGGTGACAATCAAAACTCCCTGTCCCGCCGTGGATGATGTCAAGGCTCAAGGTAGAGAATTGCTTGCATATTGTACAATAGACTACTTAGGTTTGGAAAGCATGCATAGGATTATAAATCATCTGATTCGGTTGAATGTCCCCTCAGAAATAGCAGACAAGATTTATAATCTGTTCAACGGCTACACCAGCGGGAAGGAACAGCAGACGGCCTACAACACGCTCATGGACCTCGGCTCACCAACCCTCCACCGAGTTCTTTACCACTACAACCAGCGCTACGAGAGCTTTGGAGAGTTTACTTGGCGCTGTGAAGATGAACTGGGGCCCAGGTTTGTAAGATGATTCTCTGATGAAGCTTTGTTATAAAACCTAGCAGCTCTTTAAGACTATAATGGAATTTCATTAGTGACCAAATTGGAACGTTCTGTACACGCAGAAATTCTGTACAGTCCCAAATAGTTTCAAATAGCACTCCACACTGCAGACTTGACTTGCAGATGATTTTTTTTTTTCAATTAAATTGCATGAATGGTTAAATGTTTTTATTATTAATTAATTATATTAACTGTTTTTTTTTTTTTAACAAACTACATAGTTTAGAATTAAGTATATATATATATATAATGAACAATTCACCCATTTTGGATGCAACCTTGGATTTATTTTTTCATTGAGTTTGACAGAATACATTATGGGATGCTGCCTTGGAATGCATGTGGGAATGTTAGGGGGACACATTAATTTTTATTGATTGCAATTAAACCCGATATCTTGTTTTACAAGCTTTTGTATGCTTTTTTATGTTTTTCATTGCTCCCTAAATTACATAGTAAACACAGATTATTCTATTACGAATCTTAACGTCAGACATGTGATTAGGGTATTTGTGCTAATTAGGTTTAAATTGAACGCAATCAAACTGATTACAGTACGTTTAAGGGGATCACTAAAGCATCATGCTGACCACAAAACAGGGTGGTAATCTTTATACACCCTCCAAAACAAACCAAAGACAAATAAGGTCTGGATTTTCGAACTGCACTGAAACGCTGTCTAAACACAGCCATGTGTTGGATATAAAACATGAACGCTTCCTCGCTGATGCACAGTAGAGGCAGGTGACTTTAATTATGGCCATTTGGACAACCGTACCTGAGGCCTCGGTTCAGATTGAAAGGTTGTATTTAATTGTCTCCATGTTGCAAGGTTTTCCTTTCTTGCCCCTGAGTTGCTGCTTTAAAACACACTTGTATCAAATACTATCCCACCCAGTGTGACTGATGAGAGGGAACTGCTGTGAGGACTTTAACAGTAGGTGCTTTCAAACCAAGATCATGGATGCATGGTAGTTTAATCAGATTCAGGCCTATGTTTTCTGAGATATTTTCTCAGTCATACCCGAGGAGTCGAGGTTTGACTAGTTAGCATGCTTTAGTTAGCTCCTGCACAGTACAAAAAATAGTTGTCACTTGGGTGGTGTTACACACACACACACACACACACACACACCATGTACATATATATTAATTTATTTATTTTCTTTCTCTCTTTCTTTCTATCTATCTATCTATCCATCCATCCATCCATCCGTCCGTCCGAGAGTGTGCCTTAACTGTACCATTATGGGAGTAAAAAGTATCTTTATCCTTAATGCTTTATATTATTATAAATTATTATTAATATTATAAAGCAGCATTTATTGCAAATATTTTAATCACTCAGTCAATAAAAGAATGATAGAATAAATAAATACAAGTACAATGAAATATATATATATATATATATATATATATGTATATAATGTCATTTTTCAGGTCACTTTTCATTTTACATAAATACATTTCACTCAGTATTTATTTTTCTTTCTCTCTTTCTTTCTATCTATCTATCTATCCATCCATCCATCCATCCGTCCGTCCGAGAGTGTGCCTTAACTGTACCATTATGGGAGTAAAAAGTATCTTTATCCTTAATGCTTTATATTATTATAAATTATTATTAATATTATAAAGCAGCATTTATTGCAAATATTTTAATCACTCAGTCAATAAAAGAATGATAGAATAAATAAATACAAGTACAATGAAATATATATATATATATATATATATATATATATATGTATATAATGTCATATTTCAGGTCACTTTTCATTTTACATAAATACATTTCACTCAGTATTTATTTCTATTCACTTTTTTATTATGCTTATATTGGTAACACTTTACAATAAGGTTCATTAGTTAACTACATTAGTTAACATGAATTAATAATGAACTGCACTTATACAGCGTTTATTAATCTTTGTTAATGTTAATTTCAACATTTACTAATACATTATTAAAATCTGGTTAATATTAGTTAATGCACTGTGAACTAACATGAACATCTGTATTTTTATTAACTAACGTTAGCGTAGATTAGTAAATACAGTAACAAATGTATTGCTCATGGTTAGTTCATGTTAGTTAATATATTAACTAATGTTTAACTAATGAACCTTATTGTAAAGTGTTACCCTTATATTTATTGATTGCAACATGTTATGATATATTCAGTTTCATTATATATTGATGTTCATGTTTTTTCAAGGTGTGCATTTCACTTCATTTTTAATTTTAATGTGTATTTTATCTTTACATTTATTTATTTATGCTTGCTTGCATTTAATCCTTTTATTTAATTTTTTTGCAAGATACTGTATGTAATAAATTCATTTCAAAATGATTTTTTTTATTCTGTCAAATCTCTCCATACCTTTGAGTATGATTTAGCTCAGTTATTTTTTTAAATACATTTTAAATAGTTTTTTTTATATAGTAAATATTTATTATTAACCTTTCCTTAAGTAGGACCTTATGAGTGCTAAAGGGTAAAAGGTTTGTTGATCCCATGTTGACTCAAGGGACGTCATAAATACTGTCATTGTCCATCAGTGAGATTTGAGAACCGAGTTGAAATGATAACAGGTTGATTAGTACCCCCTAAAGCTGTCTTCTATGACAAATGCATTGAAATAACCCCAAAACAACATCCATTCATAATTAATTCATCCAGATATTTGCACAATGAATGGTGCGTGTGATCATGCCCCTATGATCGACCCAGTTCCATGAAATATTGCGCAAGTTTTTAGACTTCAGATAAGCTGTTCTAGTGGAGGTCTGGGGAGATGGGCCATTATCTCCCCAGCATCTGTCTTCCAAACAACTTGTATGCGTCATTTCCAATCTCATTGCGTCCATACAGCATTTTTTCAGCATAGGATAGGATGGAAATATAAACAAAGAAAATTTGTTTCTGTCTAATACAAAAGTTCTCTGGGGTTTCCTCATCTGCAGCATTTAAATGCAGTTTTCATGAACTAGTCATAATACAAGATAATTGTAATTAAACTGGCCCCCCTCAGCATATAAACCAGTTCAGACTTGGAACAAAATAGATTTGAAAAACCTGTGTTTTCTTTCTTTTTGAGCTATCAAGACAGAATTTCTTCTGACTCATTCTTAATTGGTGGGCCTATTGGTTGGACTGACTCGCGCTTTAATTGGTGGAATTCGGTGTGTTCATTTTAAAGTTCTTTGGCTGTTTTCGTTGGACATTGATGCTGTACAGTTACTATAGGGAACCGCGTTGAGTCATAAGGCCATTCCAAATGGATGTTATGGAAGCAGGTAGGTGTGCTACTCTGAATGTCTGTGGAATGCAGCTGATTGTTTCCTCCCAGACTAGTGCAAGAGATTTCGGAAAGCGAGAGTAAGAGAGAGGCACTGGCAGAGCCCAAGAGGTTGAAAACGTACCTTGGAAATAAGAGGCCATTTTCCACTTCCATACATGCTGGGATTTATGGTGACAACCGTTGCTATTTGGAGACCAAAACGGACTTTCTTGAAAAATTAAAGGATAACAAACCACAGGGTTTTGTTTTAAGCAAATAAACATCCAAATTCCTACAACCACTGAAATGTGGCAAGATATTAAAAACATAAATACACTCAAAAGAATGATATAAAAGACAGCATCTCTACAGCAGATGGGAATATATTTCATTTAATATGCAAGTGATTTCTGACATCATTAAAATTCCATTAATTTACCTTGTGAATGAATTGGAGGTCAAAGTAAATAATGAATTTATACTTTGTTTTGCGTGAAACCTCAATAAATTGCAAATGCAATCAAACAAGACATTGTGCATTCAGTTGAATCGTTTTAAGCCACATTTTAATCGTAAACACTTAAAAATGCACTTAGCTATCCCAAAGCCTGGTTGGTCCACACAGATTTGGTTTTTGGTATTTATGTGGTAGAGTGTTGAGCTTCTGGTTTGGCAGGGGTTTGAAGTGAAGCTATGACTTAGGAATGAGGCGCTCTTTCCGTACTCTTGGTATCGCATTTCAGCTTCTTGTCTTTTGCGAAAGGATATTGGCGCTTCATTGCATTCGCACATACTCAATAAATGCCCCTCTCAAGTCACCGTCGCTAATAGAATTCCCAGGTACTTAACCTTAGCTGCCGTTCACCTAATCGGTCCTGTGTTACCTCAGAAGCTTCTTGACGGGAACATTTATTTTTCAAGGTTTTGCCATTACAGTTTGATATAAAAACACCACAGGCTTGATTTATGGTCAAACTCCTCGGTCCAGATTTTGAAGAGCGTCGTTTAAGGGGTGCAGACAGAAGACCTGTGTTTTAGCTGAATATGGCCATCGCCTGCCGTTTCTATTTGTTATATTGGAGTCTCCCATCAGTCTTTCAGTCTCATGCTCCAGAGCAGCTTGTGAGGTGGGCATTCTCAGAATGGATAAATGGAATGGAATGCTCAATGTTTAAACCACCAGAGGAAGAAAAATTTCAAACCAGTGTCAAGAGCATTGCGCAATAGCAATATTATAAAAACTATGTAGTATGAGTATCACAATGGATGTTAGCAGAAAACACTAACAGGAATCACTTACACAGCAAGATAAAAGCTGTGTGTTGTTGAATAAAGCAATTTGATAGTACAGAAATAAAACAAAATGACAAAAAAGATCAATCAGAGTCAATACAAAAGTACTGTATGTGAGTTTAATTACTAAGGATTTATTGACTAATGGCCCTAATGATGATATATATAATATATGCCTTAGTGCTGTCAAAATAAACGTTTTTGTTTACATAATATATGCGTGTGTTCTGTGTATATTTATTATGTATATATACATACACATTTCATACATATAAATACATATTTCAGAAAAATGTTTATATATTAAATATATTTATATATTTTACAAATATATGAATATAAATATATACATGCAAATACATGTAAATATTTTCAAATATATATACTGTATGTGTGTGTATACCAACATACACAGTACACACACATATACACATATATTATGTATACAAAAACTTATTTTAGATGTGATTAATCGAGATTAATCATTTGACAGCACTACTATATATATGTATATATATATAAATAATAATAATACAAAAACATTTTATTAAAAATTTAATATTACTATTTTCTATTTTAATATATTTTAAAATGCAATTTGTTCCTGTATTGGAAAAACTGAAATCATTCTAATATTGATGGTGCTTGAGAAATATTTATTATAAATGTTTAAAACATTTTTGCTGAATGATATTTTTCTGGAATTTTTTTTTAATGAATATAAGGTTATATCTATTTTTTGACAACAATTCTATTCTTTCTGTACTTTGTAACATTCTAAAAGTTGTTTAATCATTTTAGCCAAATTTTTTTTCTTTCTTTTAAAATAATTTTGCATAGTTGCTTGAAATACATTACATATGCATTTAACCCAGACAATGTAATATATAAACATTAACACATTACTAACCAAGTGTTGTCTTTGTGTCTGCTACTGCAGGAAAGCAGGATTGATCCTGTCTCAGCTGGATGTACTCAGCGGTTGGTGCCGGGGTCTCCTCCAGGAACCAAAAATTGGCTTGCGCAGAGCATCCCTCAAGTATCTATCTTGTCGTTATACAGATACCAAAGCATTTGGGCTCAGCTGGGTGAATCTCGGCCAAGATTTACGTAAGGCCTGTGAAGATCAGATGCTCTCCGTTATGTACAATGATTATGGAGAACCCAAGGAACTTTAAACCAACTTGGACAACAAGAGGACCAGTCAGGGGCCGTACCTCAACACGGCCTCCACTTTAGGGCTTCTCTCTAGAGAATCGGCTCATCAGTTTTAACATTAATTGGTCATTTAATGATGAAGAGGAAAATATTTTGTGAGAACATGAGCATCCCATCCTGAGTTTTTAAGAAGCATTCAAGTGGGGTGTCTCTGGGCTTGCACATTAAAAAATGTACAGTGTACAGTCAAAGGAAAGTTGCATTAAAGTGTCATTTAGACCTAGTGGTGTATTTTGTCAAATAGTGCATACACCAGCTTGTATAGGTAGGACTTTTTCACAAGAACTAAAACTGTATCTTCTTAATGTGCTGAAAATGTTTGTCTCTGTAGTGCATATAGATATGGAAAGAGCTATAACAAATGTAAATGTCAATTAACTATTAAACACATACTAATGTGCTGAATGTAGTATTCAAAAATAAGGTATAAGATGGGACAAGAAACTGTACAGGAGTTTTTTAAAGTATAAGCAGTATTATGAAAATAACCATTTTAAAGTTGTGTACAATAACATGTCTTGTTTTATTTCCTATTCCAAATAAAATTATTTAATTGTGCAACTGAAATCTGAACAAAAGTAACGAGGGCTGCACAGTTTTTAAAGTTGCAATGAAACAGGAGTACAACAACAGATATTGTCTTAATCTATTATGACATATCTGAGTGAAGCAAATTATCGGGGAAAAATGCAAGGCGAGAACATGTTTCTGTCCACCAGTTGTTGATTGGTTGGAGGCGGATTGTAAAGTTGATTGAAAAAGGGGCGGGACCTAAACAGACTAAATAATTGGCCAGCATAAATCAACAGCAAAAAGTCTGTGAAGATTTTGACATTTTGATTAAAAATTTTGAGGTTGCAAAAAATGAAACATTCAGAAATCATAGCAGTAATCATTCAAAATAAGATCCTTAACATGCATTTAGAAAAGAGATTTTCTTTCATATTTAATCATTTCTTTATATTTTCCTTTTTTTCTTTATAATATGATTCAATTTCTTCAGCAACGATTTTTAAACATTTACAAAAATGTAACAATTAATATTTTCCTTATTCATAGGATTCCATATTGTAATTTCACTCTGCATCTTGCACCATTTGATGTTTAAAAAAAGATATATTAAAATATATCTTAAATCTTGACATTGATATTTAAATCTTGTTTTATATTTATTATACTGAGCACAATTATAGACATCAACTCTTTTAAACCCACCAAACTTGTGTGTATTTATACTTTATTGATATGACAGCGCACCTACACTTTAACAGACAGAAGAGCATACAAAAATAGTATCATATATTTCCATTACAATTGCTATACATTAACTCTTTTCCCAAAACACACGCATTTCACAGGTTTTGCATGTACATGTAGAGGGTATCAAATAAGGATAAGGAGAGGGGGAAAAATCTTGAAATCTTGAACTGACAGTCTGAGATAAGCACTTGTTTATATACCTGTATTAATGACATATAGGTGGAAGTAATATTGAGAATGTGGCTCACAACAAGCAAGAGCTATTGGTATAAAATATTCATAAAAATCAGCTACACTTGATATATGTGTGTGTGTGTGTGTGTGTGTGATGGTGTACATAAATGCTTGTGGGTTAAAATATGGGTCATATCTACATCTACATCTATGTTAGAGATCTTGAAAATATATTAGGTATTATTTCATAGATTAGTGTTGAAGAGGATTGTTTTTATGCACTTCTGTGGTTTGAATTACTGCCTTTGATCAGCCTTGCTCTTATGTGGAGTGAGAAACATTCAGGTTATTGTTTGGCATTTTCTTTTCAAGCCAATCTGAGAGCTGTCCACGCGCTCTCCGCCTCGCTATCATTCACAGCGCTCCTGGCTCCTTTCGCTTGGCTGTGCCCTTGTTCTCCTCGGCTTCGGGGTCACGGCAGGTGCACTCATCATGATCGCAGTCCACCCCGAATTGAATGACCTGTCAATCAATCGGACATGCTTTTACAAACATCCAAAAAACATTGGGCCACAAACGTAATACATTTAAAATTAGGAATGCACAATATATTGGTTTATTTTTATTTTTTGGTAACACTTTATAATAAGGTTTCATTTTTTTTTACTATATTAGTTATGAAATAACAATAAAAAATACTTCAAAAGCTTTTATTATTCTTAGTTAATGTTATTTCCGACTTTCACTAATACAGAATTAAAATAAAAACTTGCATCTGTTGATATTATTTAATGGACCTCACCTCAGCTAACATGATTTAGCAATGATCAATTGTATTTTTATTTACTAACCTTAAAGATTTACAAACGCTGTAACAAATGTATTGTTCATTGTTAGTTAATATTAGTTAATGCATTAATGTTAGTTAATAATGAATGGGACCTTATTGTAAAGTGTTACCATAATTTAATGATACTGTTCAATTTAATCAAATGAATATACATTTTTCATTTTTCAATTCAATATACCTAAATTAACTTTTTTCTCTCTCTCAAAATAGACAAAATAGAATACAATTTTAATATCAGTCATTTTTAGTTGTCAGCCATAATGTTAAAATAAAACAATAATAATAATAATGTTAATAATAACAACAAATTCATTTTTTGTCATTTCTAATATAATAATCTAATTTCATACATTCATCTAAGAATGATTGATAGTTTTAAAAGAATTAATATTAAAACTATACCGGCAAATTATAGCTCTCCATATGCGGAAACAGTTTATTATATATCCAAACAATTTGAACTCACTAGAACTAGTAAGTCCTTTAAAGGTTCAAGCATGAGTTACTTAATTTTATTATATACAATTAACAGTTTTCTCTGAACATGAGGCCGATTCTGAGAGGAAAGAATCTCAGAGGAAAGAAATGCATGAATCATGCCAAAGGGATTTCTGTTATACCTTATGGTAGGTGGCATTCCTGATTTATTCCTTTCAAATAAAATAAAGCGGCATCTGTTATTCCTGACAAAACTTCCTAACTTTCTCATACTTCCTCCGATGCCATTACTTCACCTGTGTGAGAGCATGGCTACCTGTTTTGCAATGCCCAAGGGAGTGAAATCCAACCTTCTTGAGTGGACTACAATTATCAAATTGAATATGCATAAACACTTTAAATGTGTCATAATGCCTTCCTAAAGGATTTTACTTAACCTAAAGGATCTGATGCCAATAACAGGAAAACGAGAGCCGTCTGCCAAAGATACTTTTGGCTCTCTTGCGCATGTGGAGTCCTTTCAAAGAGTCCAGCTTCTACCTGATTCCACATCCCTGTGCAAGAGCAGCTGGCGAGGAGAACTCTGTAGAATGTATCCCTTCAAAACCTACACCCAATCCAAAATGTTTTTCCTGCCATGCTCGCATTCTCCAAGTCATAAGCAATATCATTTTTTATTCTTCAGTTTCTAGCTTGTGTATATATAGTTTATTTCTTTATTCTTGCTCTCCATCCGTTTTATCACCTTAAGCACATTGCGAATTTATTGGCAATAACAATTTTAAACCAATCTTACCACTTTGTGTTTAAATTAACGTGTTACATACTGCAAGTTAAATATCTGAATCTAAAACACGTGCATTATTAACGTTGTTTTAGAAAAGGCTGGAAAAAGAAAAATGACCTAATGCCTAAACTAAAGAGTCGTGTAACAGTAAATGGGAAGGATGTGTGGAATGCATCTGCTCCGGCCAGCAGAGGAAAACTGCCAGTGAATGTTAAACAACGCTGTAGTCAACCATCTGAAGCACTACTCAAAATCATCTGACCTGGACCTCACGTATATCTGGCTCAAGACAAATCGATAGTCAAGAAAAGTCCAAATCTGACCAAAACAATGTTGCGATTCAAAGACACCAGCATGATTAATTTCAGTTTTTGTTGCATTTATTTTCAATTTATTAAGACAATATATGATTTCAAGATCTACATTTTTTTAGTTGTCAGTAATAGAATGAATATATAAAATGTAAAATAATAAAATATAGAATAGATAAACAGAACTAATACTAACAGTCAAACTATAGCCTTCCATATGCAGAACTATATGTATACACAGTCTATATATATATATATATATATATATATGTGTGTATATATATATATATATATATATGTGTGTGTGTATATATACACACACATTCATAATTAGCTGCAGTGCAATTCACTAGGTGTTTTCATCAGTTTCAACACCTAATAGGAAAGACACCATGACCTTACTGTATTCCGATGATAAATATAAATGCCTCTTCAGACTGCCTAATGCTCAGTGTCAGTTCAAGCTGTCCACTTTGAGGTATCCATTCTAAAATGCATTTTCCTGGCCTCCTCTCAAAGAGGGGTTTTAGTAGGCAACCCTGCTATGTTTTTGGGCAGTATCCAAAGTTTGATTTAGATTACATGAATTTATTGAAAACGAAACCCTCCATGAGTCACTTTAAAAAGATGTATTTTTTAAAAACACAATTAACCCCTAGCAACAGTTTCTGCAATGTGCGTTTGCAATCTGAGATACTGGAGAACAACAAACTGAAATCTTATCTGAAGCAAACAATGAAGGTATCTTTTACCTTATACAGTACATGACGTTGGGAGAAATGAAATCCCTAAACATGAAATCCCTAAACGCGAGGGAGGACACACTCCACAGGTTGCCTGACCGACCACATCTAATGCTAAGCGAAAGATAGAATAAACTTAACCTCCATGGCAACAACATGTTTTCACGGACAACATTGTTTTGAGGCCCCATGTTAGTGCTGGCATCTCACTTCACTAAAGTATGCGCTCCTTGATTGGCTCTCTCCAGAGTTCCCAAAAAACTACTAATTATGTTCCCCTCCATTTCATTTCTAATGTAAACTTCTCCTTTTTGTCTTTAAATGAAAGCTGAACATGCTGAAAAACAAATTTTAGGTAACACATCACAACAGTGAAAGGCAGAATGAAGTGTTTCCAGGTTTTTTTGTGTTTTTGTCTTGTCAACTCTTTCCATAATGTTAAGATGAAGAAACCCAGTGCATGCCCTGAGGGGAATCAGATGACCATTCTTCTAACCATATTTGCAGCAAGGAATGTGAATAGTGGTTCTTCATAAACCTGTGGCATCATCTGTATGGTTTTCTCAAATGGAGCCACACAAAAAGGGGAAAGAGTTGACTGAAAAACTGGTTCGAACCAGTCAAGTAAATTGTACTTGATAGTAGGCAAAGGGGAAAAAACAAACAAACAGCCCCAATAGTCCAAAGCTCAGAAGATCATAAGTTTCAACAGTCTGACCAATACATGGACAACTATAATACCTGAAGAAAGCTTCCATTAGCTTTCGTATTCATCTGAAGGAAAAAACCTCCAGAACCAAGGGTTGCAAAAGCAGACTTAAAGTCTACTTATGTTTGGCCTTGGTGGTTCGAAAATAAAATATTAATAATGACACATAAACTAAAGCATAATCTGAGCTGACCTCTTCACTTATCATCAGTCTGTAATGGGAAATACCTTCTGGATATGCTGCAGAGCAACTGGAACATGTGCTGTGGAATAATTTATACTAAGTCTCCGATATAAAAGCAACTGTTTTGCTAGGTAACAAATGAGGGCAAGAGGAGATGAGAGGGTCTGGCAGATAAGGGGTATTTGAATATCATAAAACATCCCTCTAAAGGAATGGTGAGTTCCAAGGTAGAATGAATAGCTCATAAAACCTGTCTGCTTCACTCTGAAATTATATTAAAAATGATCAAATCGGATATCCGGGGGGGGAACTTGGATATGCAACTGATGATAAAACTAAATAAATAGATCAAATGTATTATATAAAAAAATATATAAATATAAATTTTAGGGTTAGCGTTATGACAAGGGTTCGTTTTTTTTTAAGATTTTCTTTTAAAGATATTAATAACAATAAAATTAGGGCTGTCAAATGATTAATCGCGATTAATCACATCCAGAATAAAAGGTTTTGTTTACATAATATATGTATGTGTACCGTGTATATTTATTATGTATATTTAAATACACACACGTGCATGTATATATTTAAGAAAAATATGTTATGTTTATATTTTAAATCTATTTATATATAATATAAATGTGAATACATGTAAATATTTTCGAAATATATACTGTATATGTGTGTATTTATATATACATAATAAATAAACACAGTACACACATATTATGTAAACAAAAACTTCTATTCTGGATGCGATTTATCACATTTAATCGTTTGACAGCACTAAATAAAATGTATTTTTGTACAAAAAAAATTATCAGAACATATACAAAATTAGAATATATTATATCAATATTTTTTTTACCTTTCATATGATAATTTTTTTATTTTATTTTTTTTTTAATCTTAAACAATTTATTCAAGTCTCACACATTTGAACGGCACACCATACTAAACACTGCTCCACCCTTTCATCTTCAAGATACGTCCCTTGACATCTCTGGCAGAGCTAAAATCCAGAGAGAATTACAATAAACAGTCATCCATTATTTTTCAAAAACACTCGACTGTTCATTTCAACACTCTTTTCGATTCCAGACTTCACACGACTCTGCCGCGTTACTTCTGTTGACTTTTAGCGAAGCCTGGTATGTTACTTTCGTCACATATCATTTGTGATTATTTTACAACTGGTTTAACGCATCCATCAGTTTCATAACATCCTTTAAATTCCCTCTGTCTAGCTGACCTGCGCACACACCGATAAGATCATTCATTTGCTTTGGCACCTCAGAACTACAATTGTCGACAAAGTCTGATGAGTTAGTGCGCAGGGTGAATTTAAACAGGATTCTGTGAATTGCGGGATGGACTCTAGAGGAACAGAAACCGGAATAATATGTTTTATGATCATGTATATACCACATTTTACTGTGGCAATGATATTTTCATTCGGTTTTATTTTTGCGATAAAAGGAGAACCGGTGAGAATCAATCTGTCAGCATGCTGTGGGAAGATGTGGCACGCAGTCCATCAACCATCGCGCTAAATGTTTCTCTTGGCCACGGGAGATGTTAAAGATGTCTCCATATGAGAGCGGATGGTGTCGGAAATCCCTGACAACAAAATGCCTCATTACTGACGTAAATGTAAACTTGGGAATGTCTAAACCATATACAGACAAAATAAAAATAGAAAACTGAAGGACTGTATTTCTTGACCCTTTGGACTGGGTTCATCCAGATTTGAATTCCTGCGGGCGCAAATGGCTTCAAAGTCACTCTTGAGACACATTATGTGCTACTAACCCGACCTATTATGATGTATTTATACATGCTTTTAAAAATGTTTTCAATGGATCACAGATTTGATTTGCGAGTTCCATTTTGGTAAAATGGCCCAGTTAATAGACGAACATGGAGTTCTGACTACAGAGATAGTGAAGAGCAAAACAGGTTTCCCCATCTGTGCATGAAGCTCCATGACGCAATAACTGGAACGTAAAACTAAAAAATCAACACCGTCATAATTTATCACTGATTATGTTGCTCCCTGATCCTCCTGGACCACCTCAATGCTCTGCTGGTGGTTATCTATCAAACTGCTCTTTTCTCTTTGAGATCTGACATGAGGCAGATGTGAATTCTTGCCGTTGGTTTTACTTCTAAAATACTGCTGGCGTACCTATCAGTATTATAAATACAATTCTTTCATCTTTTATGCACCCTGATATTCTTCCAAACCCATATGCTGTTGTTATTACATTTTTTTATCAGTGGCACTCTAAAGTTATTTTCTTTAAAAAGATGTAGCATAGCTTTGTATGGGGAGTAGAACAAAATCTAACTTGTTATTCACTAAAATGCTCAACTTTTTTCCTTTTTTTTTTACTGATCAATTTAATACATTCTTGAATGGGGAAAGGGACTTTGATATGATGCAGGGCAACAACTCCATAAATGCAGTTATGCCCTATAATTCAAGATATTGGGGGAAAAAATGCTCCTTTATGAGTTTTTGTCTCATATTTATATCATATGATAAACAATATCACACGAGCAGTGAGAGCAATCACACGAGTACTGTTTGTCCCAAATGTGATTTTACACAACAGTTCAGTAAATAAGAAGTTAAACTTGTGTTATATTTTAAACACAATACTGTCTGTTTTTACTCAGTTTTGCCAACAAAAATATTACCTATAAAGCCACAGCAGAACTGTTGTGTGTCTCCGAGTAACACAGCGGTATTTCTGAATGAATCCGCGTTTTGAACGAATCAGGTGAACCAATGATTCAAAGGCCCATTCATAAAGTTTACCGTTTACTGAATTCCATCTTAAACATGCCGTTTGAACGAATCGAATGAATGAATGACTCATAAAGAAATTTAACGCCACCTGCTGGCAGTTTTAGTTTCTTATTTAGAGTATTATTTCATTAAAAAAGGGGGTAAAACGCTTTAAAGGGACAGTTCACCCCCCCAACAATTAAATTATGTCATAATTTACTCGAACTTGAATAACTTACTTTCTTTTGTGGAACATAAAAGAAGGTATTTTGAAGACTGTTGGTAACAAAGCTGTTTTGGTTACAAATGACTTCCATTGCATGAACGAAAAAAACTGAGATGTTTCTTAAATTATCTTCTTTTATGTTCCATAGTATATGTTAGTCCGTTGTAGCCTAAACGTGTAATAAATTTTATGTTGAATCAAATAAAATATTTCTTTCTAAAGCTACTATTTGTAATGTCTACTTAATACTTTCTCATTTAACACAAAAATAGCTTTAAATAATCTAAGGGGGTATTTTCACAGCCAATTTTTTTTCACACTGTTGTTTGCGAATAATTAGATAAATTAATCAACACATGTAATTTAATTAGATAAAAAATTGTAATCGACTGACAGCCCTAATATATATATATATATATATATATATATATATATATATATATATATATATATATTACTGACCCCAAACTTTTGAAAAGTAGTGTTTATAAGGAAAAACAATAATTAATATATAAAATATATATATATTTTTTTTAAATGTATCCCAAGTCTCACACTTCATTAATTTGAATGACATACTGTACTAAACACCTCTCCACCCTTTCACATTTTTAAGATATATCTATCTCCTGACATCACTGATGGAGCTAAAATCCAGACAGAAATACAATAAACACTCAACTGTTCATTTCAACACTATTTTCACTTCTATGCTTCAAATGTTTATCGAGTGACTTCAGAAACCTTGAAACACAGTGATCAAATCATTTGGACTACTTTTAGGGTGCTTGTATTGTGTGTCTGTTTTAATCTTTTTCGATGCTTTTGGTCAACATAAACCGCTGTGAAATTTTATTTACTCAGTATCTCTGAAAGATACTGAGTAAATACAGAAAAGCAGAAAAGCATATGGTTTTGTAGCGACATGAGGGTGACAGAATGAGTTAGAATTTAGAAAGAATCTAGAATAATTTCCATCTTGCATAAAATCACATTAGCTGTGAGGGACTCTTTTGACTCTTGTATGATGTACTTTATCTCTAATCAGAAAGAAATCACATCATATAATTAGCACTCACCTCACAGGACTGAATGCAGTGGATCTGTGCTGGATTCGGATGCCACTTCAACATGCCAGTACAGACAATACTCTTTCAAAAGAAGAGAAATAGAGGAACACAAGAGGGAAGGGGAAGGAGAAAGTCAATTACCGCATTGTAATGATGACATCATTAAACAAAAAAGCTGACTTGTTATTATTGATTAAGTTCTTGTAACAAATCTTCTTGAGAGGAAATCTGAAAATGGGGTTTCGATTTATTCCTATTTTATTTAGACTTTTCCAGAAATCGAATAATATCAAACTTAATTTTAAAAGACAAAAAGGAGACATGGTGCCTAAAAATAATACTGCAAATTAATATCCAATAACTATGACATATAATAAGGGTTACTCTTTGCCTCCTGTCCTTTCAAATTGAACAAATATTTCACTGATTTGACATTTTCTCAGAATTGGAAAGCTGACCTGTTTCTAAAGCAGCATTTCTGGAAAGAAACTTGCTTATCTCTTATTCATCTACCTCCTACTGTGACCTTTCCTCCATCATTCTTACCCAATCTGCAATACTTTGGACAACATTCCTGGAAAGCAGGCTGTTCTTAGGGGTGCTGATGTATCATTATAAACAATGGGAGTCCGACACCTTCAGAGGCGTCATGCTTGACGTGTGGCATTTTAAGCGTCTCTTATAAAAACATCACACTGTAATCATTACTCTCACGAGCTGATATGACAATGACAGACAGAATCAACACTTTCGCGGAGAGGTGAGTTGAACTTGGTTTTGGAGCGAGAATCAAGGAAACCCAATCCAACTTATTACTCTGATGTGCCAACAATGCGATTCCAATTTTGCATCCAAAATATTCAGTCTGGAAGCTCCTCTGCCTAGAGCCAAATTAGGTCCCCCCAAACAAAGATCAGAAAAGTGAGCGCTTTTACATTTGACAGATGTCAAACACACCTCATGTCATGATGTCTGGAACAGGGAAAAAATACATTTCATTTCGGTCTAAGAAAATCACTTCAAGGGGCATTTTTGAGGCTCAGTCTTGACTACATTTACAAGACAACTTGCAAAAACCTTTTGTGTGCAGGCTGAATTAAAGGACAAGGACAACCTGGTCCCTTAAAAAGACATTTATCTTTTATTGCCATATCAGCTCTTAGATCATTACAATAAAGACTAAGTAAGATCTTTATATAAGAACAATACAGTAACTACCGTATTGGCCCGAATATAAGACGACCCCCCCTTTTTCCAGATGTACCTTTTGGAAAAAGGCTTTTTAAAAACCAAATCTTGTTTTTTCTCAGTAAAACACATTTTGTCTTCAATTATTTTCATATTGCATATTTTTCCTATTTTAATTTTTGTTTTGAAAGTATGGTAAAAACTGGTAAACTGTACCAACAATCACACTTAAAAAATATACACTTTTTGATATACCATTTAAAAAAATCTGAATTAGGACATTTAGGCTATCCATCTAATAGTAGTCTACCAAAATCTTATTAACAGAGGAAGTTAAATCTTACTGTAGTTTTCAAATCTGGGTACTGTCTTACGTTTTATAATCACAAAGGGAGTTTGGTCCCATCAGGCTAATGTGACAGTCACGACTCATGCAGCTGTAAGGTTTTCTTATTCTTTTGTTTTTACTCGCGATCTTTACAACACGCATTACATTACGTATTTCATGGCACACTCGTTTTATGCGTATTTCATGGCACACTCGTTTTATGCGTACATGTCAAAGTCTAGACCCTGAATATAAGACGACCCCGTTTTTTCAGATGTATTTCCAAGAAAAAAACATCGTCTTATATTCGGGTCAATACAGTATTTATAATGTTCAATTCGATAATATTAGTGGTCACACTTTATTTTAAGGCCCAATTATCGCTATTAACAAACCATTAACTACGACTTTTGCCTCAAATTCCTAATTTGCTGCTTATTAATAGTTAGTAAGGTCATTGTTAAGTGTACTGTAGGTATTGGGCAGGATTAGGGCTGTATAGAATATGTGCTTTATAAGTACTAATAAACAGCCAATATGTTAATAATAGGCATGCTACTAAGCAACTAGTTATTAGTGAGAATTGCTCCCTATACTAAAAAGTGTAAAGTGTTACCATATTGTATAATAATGCATATTATTATTTTAATGCATTATAAACTATCAAGGAACATTTTTACAGCATTTATTTATCTAGGTTAATGTTAAATGTATAACTATTTTATATAATTTAGATTTATTTATTTTATTGTTATAATGCATTTATATTTTATAATATTTATAAATAATTAGAATGTATAAATATACTCATGTTGGTAATTCACGTTCATTCCTGTTGAATACAACTTAAAATGATTTTTAAATGTATTAGTATGTACAAATCTACTCTCCCTCAGGCCATCCAAGACGTAGATGAGTTTTTTTTCTTCATAGGGTGAAACAAATTTAGCATTACATCACTTTGCTCACCAGTGGATCCTCAGCAGAAAATGAAGTAAATGAATACATTCTAATTAATAAATGCTGTAAAAAATCATGTTGTTTATTAATTAATGATATCCAATGCATTTCTAATAGTTTAATAGTAAATATTGAAAAAATGGAAAGTGCCTAAATTCTAAAAACTTGAAGTTTGGTTAAAGCACTAGAACAGCCAATGATATCAAATAACAATTTGTGGCAAACTGGCTCCACCACCTCACCTGCACCTTGCTGGGAAGCATCCAGTGCTCTACTGTATCAGCGCTGGAGCCATTGGTTAACACCACAGGGTCACTCAAGGCCACAATGCATGTTGGGTAACAGACTGCACCTGCCATGACACAAAGCAAGCTTTGCTTTAACCATCATTTGCATCTGTTGAATTTATTCATGTGAGCACATGAATAGCCAAGCTCCGGACTAGTCATCCATAGTCGAACAGCTTGGCAGGTTGGCACTCAAAAGTATCCTAGTGCATGCAACTGACTGTGGTCTTGTGGCCCAGGTACAGTACAGTATGTCTAGACCTCTTATTAGGAAGAATAAATGCAGTGGCATAAATATACAGCCAAATAAAACAATATAGTAAGATGCATATATGTTCAGACAATGATTGAGACAATAATCATTGCTTTGTTAGAAATTGACTGTCTAGTTATTTCCATATTTGAAATGGGCAACTTTTATCTCATAACCAGTAAATTGTCTTGTCAGTTTAAATCCTCACCCACGTCAAAGCCCTCCTCACAGCTGTATTCCACCAGATTAAGGTCAAGAGGAGGCTGGCACGGTCCCTCTATCTTCTTACACATAGTAAAGTCCTCAGTCCATTTGCCATCTTTGGTGCATCGAATGCTTGACTGCAGGGACAATAGTAGATGAGTGTTTAATGACTGCAGAGTTTAGGAATACACAGATAGAGGTGGCCTACAAAGTGCTACAATACCCTTTCTGTTGAATCGGGACACTGTAGGGTGCAGATACTATCGAAATCCAAATTGTTGGTGCAGGTGTACATGCCCTCAAACATCAGCGGGAGAGGAGGGCATGTGACAGGTGAACAGCTGCCCTCTTGCCACATCCCACCCTCCAAACACTCCAACCTCAGAAACTTCCTGAGAAAAACAAGTCATTAGCATGAAGAAGGGGTAAAACTGTTTTACGCACATACCTACAGTATAATACCTGTATAAAGTCATTACTTTGGCTGCGTTTCTAGTAAGCTGACTCACTAAGCCCTACACTACTAGATTTCTCAATGTTGTCAAAACAGTAAAAACGAACTCTAACCTATCCCTAAGTATTACTGCAATTTAAATATATTTATGTCATGACAACTCTTGGAGGGATTGGCATGGTAATGTACATGACAATGTTAATGTATTTGGTCTTGGCGGAATAGATCTGCTACGCTGCTGCTGCTGTGGTAGAGCAAGTACAGAGACTTGCTGCTGCCAATACATCCACAACATGCTGCTGTGAACATGTAAGAAATATTGCTGCTGCAAATGTAACATACATGAAATAACCCCATATAACATACATGAATTACCTCGTAGCAGATCTATACAGGTGGAGCTGGGGAAAGTGGAGGGTTTCTGAAGCAAGCTGCAACTGCTACGGAAAGCACTAGTCATATATTTGAATGTGGCGATACAGGAGAGAACCAATCAGCTGTGCCATGTGATAATGAAGTCATTAGGTCAGATTGAATTAGACCTATTGGACTGCGCCATCTAGAGTTTCATGCCAGAACTCTG